CTTTAATTAAACATTCATCAAATTGAAGATAATTCGAATAACTCATTCACATTGTGATCAACGAGTTTATTTTCACGCAATAAAAAGTTCTGAGATATTTATAACGACTTGTTTTGAACTGAAATTTGAATGAAATTCTCAATTGCCCAATTTGAATTTGCAATTCCAATTAGGCATTCACCAAATTGATATCGAAGATAATTCGAATAATTCATTCACATTGTGATCAACGAGTTTGTTTTAATAAAAAGTTCTGAGATATTTATAACGACTTGTTTTGAACTGAAATTTGAATGAAATTCTCAATTGCCCAATTTGAATTTGCAACTCCAATTAGGCATTCACCAAATTGATATCGAAGATAATTCGAATAATTCATTCACATTGTGATCAACGAGTTATTTTTACGCAATAATTTCCACGCGATAAAGTAATTGTCGTCTGATATTGCCAGCGAAATACTGTTTCTTCGTGCAAATTTTACGTAATGCAATCTCTTGATATTTGTAAGAGTTCACTATCGATTCGAAATTGTTGCGAAAAAAGATCCATTCTCCAAATCCGCCATGAAAACTGAAATATTGTTGGACAATTTCACCAACGAATTTGACAACACCTATGCAACTATTCATAAACTTCATCGATAATGTCGAAGCGCATGTTTTCGAAATTTTCGAAGGAATATACGATCTTGCTTTCTTGTTGCCTTCCACAATGTATTATATTTCTCTATTACATTATTTTGTATTTGTGAAAGTGTTTCATTTCTTTGGATGCCATGCATCGTATTCAAAATCACAAATTTAATGTGTGAGCTGAACGACGAAGAAAAATCGTGGAAAAAAAGAAAATTAAAAGACGTTCTTAACATTCTTTTCTTCTCCATCGATTCTTTTTCTTCTTCGCTTTCTTCGTCTGGTATATTTACTATTTTATTCATTGATGTGCTGCTTATGCCAAATATTTTGAATATTTTCGAAAAATTAGTCGCATTATCAGTAATAATAGCGATTATCTTTCTCGTGAATTTAAATAGAATTCTGAATATATGTTTTGCAGTTGTGCTCAAAAGAAGGCCAATTTCTATAATTCAATGCGTTGTTTATATCAGGAAGAAGCTTCGTTTTTCTTCCTGATTTTCAAATATCTACTGTTGTACAAATTTTGTTTCAAAAAACTGGTAGCATTTATTTTTCTACCCAATGTTCTGTGATTCATTGGGGGAACACCCAAGCTTTAAATCTCCTAGGAGATTTATTTCAACAAGAAAGTACAATAATGATAGTACACGAAAGTGCTTATACTCTAAGATTACAACTATTGAGAAAATGCTTCCTTATTCAAATTTTAATAAATTCCACTCTGAGCTCATTATATTAAAATATATTATACTCTCTTATAAATACTCTATCGATAATATCGAAGCACACGTTTTCGAAATCAACATTATGCTGATCTTGCACAACTTCAAATTTACCAATCAATACATTTTGGTTCAGCTCCATTCGAAGTGAAATCGATTGAAGTGATTCTTCCATCGCAGCAATTTTTAAATTTTTTTAGCCAGCCATTATTAATTGTCGAACGTTCATCGTTCCAGTTTGCCATTAATCCTTTAATGGATCACTGTTTCGACGCAGAATATACTGGGAAAAAAGTGATTTATTTTCTACTACAAACTTTTACTGAATGGTTTTCGAAATGTTTATTAAGACATGTTTGCAGGAATCCTGTATCTGCTAAAACATCGTCCCATCGGGGTGAGTGAAGTTGTTTCTCACGTGAGTCACGCCAGACACAATTGTCTTCTTGAACCTTCTAATTACTTGAAATCCACCAAAGATCTTGAAGGATCAATGTTCAATGTGAATGATTGACTCGGTTGGATGATGCATTTTCTCATAATAATGGATCATAATTGCAGCTTGTCTATACGAGATTCGAATTTCTCACAATGTCATAATAGATGAATTTGAAGTACGATTTGTTCATCACGAATGTGTTAATTAATATATAAGTTTTCTTATTGTTCGATGAAGGCTCATGAATAAAAATCCAGTTCAATGGCGGTTTTTCGATGATTAATAAGATATTTAAATTGATATCTCCTCAAATCTGATATAAAAATGTAATTGGAAGCTGTTTATCATAAATTTTTTCGAGTGTAGGATGATGTTGGTCAGCAATGTCTGGAATATATTTATTCTTGAATTTGTGATCACATTGCGCTCCAGCAAAGTTGAAGTATCTTAAAAAGTATACAAGTTCAAATATTGCCAAAATTTATTTAAAAACAATGTTATTTTGAAGCATATTATCTTACATCCTTTAAATCTTTGACTTAATTGAGGCTTAAATAATGAAAAATTTTCTATACGAGGAATCTTTCTCGAATAAACAGGTCATAAATCTCTTGATCATTTTTCGAAAATGATGGCTAAATTAAAGGGAAAAAAATGAAAATAAGAGGATTTGTGCTTTTATAAGTTTGTATCAAATTGTGAATATCTTCTTCATCTGTATCTGTCCTTGAATTAATAATTCATTGTAGCATGAGCAAAGGCTGATGAATTATGCTTGGAATACGAAATTAATAGACTCAGAAGATTTTTATTACACAAAATTTTTATAAGTATCAATACAGAGCATTATTTCATAGTAGTGTTTGAAGTATTAATGAGTTAAAAAAGTAATGAGTTTCAAATAAAATTACGTAAGTTATTCGAAATGTTCGAATAATCACAAGTCAACGTCGAATTGACTGTCCAAAGCTATTCAAAGAGTCAACTATAAATACGAAAAAAAGTTATTTAATGCAATTGTGACTTCAACTTTATTGAAGACATTGAATAAATCAAAAATAAAAAATTATTATTTATTATTTTTCATAAATAATAATAAAACCAATATTTTAATTGTAAATAATAATGATTAAATTTTATTTGGAAAAAACAAATTTTTATTCAAAATTTTATTTTAAATAATAAGTAATATGTAAGGAATAAAATTAATTTTTTAATTATATTTTTATATTTTAATTGTAAATACGAAGTAATTTTTAAGTTGGAGATAAGATAATATTTTTTATTTTAGATGAAAAAATAAATAATGATCTTCAGATATCTTTGATTGCTGCATTTTGTATAATGACAATATTCGAATTCTAAAAGAAAAGAAACATAAAAATTAATTTAAAAGCTATTATTAATAAAAATTTAATTTATTAATGAATTTAAAAAATTAAGTATGAATTAAACTTCAGTTTGGAATTATATATATTTTATTTACGATTGGAGTACATTTTTACATTTCATTATATTTTTATATTTCATTTACATTATGTCGTTACATTTTTTTTCTGTTTGCTTTTCTTTTTCTATATTTTTTATATTTTTCTTCTATCATCTCCTCGTAGTTTCATCTTTTTTTTTGAACACAGAGATCAAAGAAATTCAATATTTTTTTTTTTTAAATTATTCATCAAAAATTTCTCCTAGGAAATCCATCCATTCTAACAGTATGCGCAATAGCTCCGATCATTTGTAAAAAATTCTCAAGCATTGTCCTATACAAGGCTCCATTGATTTTTTCTTCCTTATTTTCAAAGAAATAGGAGCTATAATCTTTCAGCCAAATGTGCATTTTTAGAGATAGTGATATAATTTTTCTGAAATTCTTAGTACCTCAAAATTTACAGCTTTATTTTTCGATATACTCATTTAAATGAAAATGAGTTTCATCGTTCATTATCAAGTTGTTCAAAAAATTGTTATTATCTCTGGCTAGATGTTGAAATCGAATGGCGTATCGCAAGTGAGTGAATTTCTTGGGATAATAAAGTTTGGATCTTGTATGGAAACATTTTTAAATCCAATTTTAGAATCTTTTGAAGTAATGTTCTGACGATGTCTAGTTGAGCAAAGCGACGACAGATGGATCCTCAACAGTGTCTTAATTAAGTTTTCATCATTGTGTCAATGCGCTTAGGATCTCTTTCGATTAATTTACTTCTTTCTCAATTGGTTCTGAATTACGTTATTGCTAGGAAATACTCTGATATTAAAATGTTGCCGATATTTTCTCTGAGATTCAAAAATTGATCTTTCATTGGAATAGAAAAACTTAATGAGTTTTTCTCGTTGCTGGACATCGTACGTAGCCATTTTAATCTTCAAAGGATGCTGTATAACCTATAAAAAAAGAAAATAAAAAAGATCGAAAGTGAACAAATTATAACAAGTTATTTCAGTGGCCATTCTGTATCTTCTTTGTCTTTTATCTTTTTTTTACTCTTCTTAGAAGTAGATAGATAGGCCTTGTTTCCAATATTTTTGTAAACAAAATATTATAAACATTTCATAGTACAAAATATAAAAAAAATTATTAAAAATTAATATGAGAGCAATATTACCTTTTTCATATTAATTTTTATGTTCACGTTTCCGTATTAGTCTGCTTTTTTTTCTATCTCTTCAATTATTTTTTTTTTTTTTTACAACTTTTTTCATATTAATATCTCTCTTGAAATATGCCATCTCCATCAATTCCTATTTGTTATATATTATATATATATAATGATTTAGAAAAAAATATAAATTATTATATAAATTATTAAAATTAGCACGAAGTTTATATTACCAATAATTATTCCTCTATTTCATCAGCTTTATTTTTTTTCCTATTATTGCGACATTTTTAAAAACGCAAGTGTTTTTAAGATGTCACGTTTCTCGAACATGTCATATTGCTTTTTGCATTATGGTCGCATACGAGAAAAATCGCTCAACTGGCGTTGAAGATGGCAGCACTATGTTGTATTGATAAAAAATTTTTTTTACCCCCAAATATTCTTCCAATCAATGTTTCTGATCTATAAAATATTGTAATATTTGTAAGTAAAATATCAAAAAATTAGAGATATAAATGAAAATATATAAAATTTATTATTTATTTATTAAAGAAAAGATCACTTCCTGACCACATCCACTGTTGTCATTAACTCGTAACTCATGATTTCGAGCATTTTAAATTGCTCTAAAATTTTTTTCCACTTGTCGATGTTGATGAATTTTCTGTTTTTCTTAATTCTTGAATTACTTTTTTCTTTAAATTTGTTCGTTACTATTTTTTTGTTCATGTAATTCTAATTCACTCGAATCACTTATTTTTAAATCGAGGGTGTGATATTGCTATTGCGTCTATCTCGTCTCTTTCGAGAGTGAAAAATTCCTTACACCAGTCTCCACACTTTGTAAGAGGAATCGACAAATTATTTTTATTTATTTACAACATATTTTCGTTAATCGAATTCCTTAATTTTCTCCTCGCTGTTAAAATACATGACAATAATAAGCCGTAAAATACATGTTTTTCAGCTTGCAATATATCTATTGCTTGGTGATTGGTGACATTTTAAATGTTCTTCAAATTTACACTATTTTTCTAACATATTTAAAACGATTTTTAAGATTTAAAATAACTTTTTCGATACATTCAGCAGACTTTGGTCTTTCTGCTGCCATAATGTATTATATTTCTCTATTACATTATTTTGTATTTGTGGAAGTGTTTCATTTCTTTGGATGCTTTGCATCGTGTTCAAAATCACAAAATTAATGTATGAGCTGAAGGAAAATATCGTGGAAGAAGAAAATTAAGAAACGTTCTTAAGATTCTTCTTCCACTGGTTCTTTTGTTTTTTCTTCTTTGTTTCCTTCTTCTGGTATATTTTATTCATTGATGTCCTGTTCATGTCAAATATTTCGAACACTTTTGAAAAAATTTTCAGTAATAATAGCGATTATCTTTCGTGAATTTAAATAGAAAATAAATAAAAATATGTACATATGTTTTACAGTTCTTTCAAAAGAATGCATTCCTATAATTCAATATGTTATTTATAGCTGAAAAAGCTTCGTTTTTCTTCCTGATCAAATATCTACTGTTGTACAAATAAATTTTATGTTTTTTAAATTTTCTCGTATTATTGACTTTGTTTCAAAAAAACTTGGCATTTATTCTTCTACTTAATGTTCTGTGATTCATTGGAACAATAAACCCAACCTTTAAATCTCCTAGAAGATTTATTTCAGCATGGAAATACAATAATCACAGTACACGAGTGATAATACATGAAAGCGTTTATATTCCTGAGATTGCAACTATTGAGAAATGTTAACATGGATATACACGCTTTAATGTTTGGCTCGAACAAAGAGTCAACGTCTAAAGACAGTTGAAATCCTTCCTTTTGCAAATTTTTAATAAATTTCTCTAGGCTCATTATACAGGAAACATCGCCAAAATACTTGGTCTAAAGTTTCATTTTTCTCATCACATTTGCATTTAGGATCATTAACGGTACCTATACTGAGCTAACATCCCAATGAGCTTTTGAAATTCTGATTTTTCATCCATGAGAATGGTATCACTTTGAATGATATTGTTTAATATACCAGGACTTTCAATATCATTATTTTTG